GCTCCGCCGCGGCGCCGGGGCTGTGCGCGGCCGACCCCCGCGGGCGGCGCCTTTGTTCCGCGCTCGGAGGAGGTGCTTTTAAAGGGCCAGCTGTTGGAGGGACTTGGGGACCCCCTCCCCCAGAGCATCGCCCTGTGGTCACGGGACACCTTGGTCCCCCGCGGCCGAGCCGTGCGTCCTGCCCGCGCGCTGAATTCCTAGTCCCTGAAGGAAAGTTCGCCAGGATGCGGGGATCTGGGGGGATTCCAGGTTTCTTTCTTTTCTTTCCTTTTTCGTGGTGGGTAGGGGATGCGATCGGGGCCTCTGCCGGGAGCGTGGCCGCAGCTCCGGGCCGGCTGCGCTGGGGTGGGTGGGGGAGACGTGGTAGCTCGGGTGGGTTTGTCCTGTGAAGTGAAACTACCGGGGCCTCTCTGCAGCAGCCAGAGGAAGGAGGAGGGAGCGAGCGGCAGGATGGAGGGTTTCAGGTGCGTTCATCCATCTGACCCCCAGTCCCGGAGCAGTGGGCAGCTGCGGGGGCGCTAGGACGACGCGTCGGGTGTGTGTGTCGGGGACTCGGTGCCTGCCCATCTCGCGGTGCCCCTGCATCTCGCCGAGTGGCCGACAGCATCCTGCTAGGCAGCTCATCACCGAGAGGGACAGAAAGCGATTCCTTTCTCCGAATTCCCGGGCATCTCTGGCTCCCACCTTGCTGCTTTACGACGTGGCTTCCTTGATAAGCGGTAGCGACATTCAAAATAGAGGGGGAGGAGGCTTGAAGTCATTATGGGCCTTTTCTGGGAGAATGTGCTGTCGAATTCTGCATCAACACCCTCCCCCACCTCAGCTCTCATAAGATGGCTTTGAAATTCACCCGTGCATGCTTCCTTGGGGCAGCCAGAATTTATTATGCTATTACATTGCTACATAAAAGCAGAAGGAATCCCACTGAGGGTGGCTCCTATTATCTGGTTTCCGGGTTTTCCCCAGCATGTTCTTGCTGAGCCTTTGGATTTTTGCTTTAAACAGGTCACTGGGATGCTCCCGTTGTCACAGGGCCGACCTGCTGAAATTGCTAGAAGTGATTTCACTGTCAGTGGGAGGGAGCTTCATTTAGACAGACATGGAACCTATTTGGCACGTCAGGGCTCTGACTCCATCCCTACCCCACCTCTTTGTGCCTCCTTTTCCTCTCATGGGTGAAGGCCAGGGATGGCTTGCCTGTCTCTGTTCTCCTTGGTAGTGATTTAAAGGGGCTGGTGAATTACAGGTAGGGCGGACAGTGAGGGAGACAGCAGTGTCAGTGACAGAAAACACATGGTGAACATTTGAGAGCTCCATAGCTTCAGCCTTCAGAGACTTGGATGAGGTAGATGGCTATCTACAGAGTGGGTGTGTGTTGTAGGGGGGAGGGGTGGAGGAGCAGGAGGATACTGCCAGCAATTTTCTGCCCCACCCTTCTGATGCTGCTTTAAATAGCTCCTAGCTAGCCAAGCCCTGAGGTGTCCCTCTCAGCCTGAGGGGGGCAAAGAGGGAAGGGCGGGTCTTTTGGTACCTCTGCCCTGGGCACTGTTGGAATAGATGGTTAGGAAGGAGTTTTCCAGGTGCTGCAGAGAGCACATTTGTCAGTTGAAGGACCTGGGACAACTGGCTCTGCTGACTTTCCTGCAGGGAATTAGTAACTGAAACAAAGTGCTCTCTGTCCTGTGGGTGAGGAGATGGGAGCTCATCCTCATCTTCATACAGTGCCAACCCCTCTTGGCCCTTTCTTCCTCTTCACTGTTCGTATTTGTTGTAGTTGAAGAGTTCCTGTAAACTTTTAAAAGAGATTGGGAATATTTGGGAGTGGGTTGAAGTCATGGGAAAGGACGAGAAAGTGCTTCGTACTGGCAGAACAAAGAACTGTTCAGCTTTCCCCCTCTTTCCGTCTCCAAAATAGAGTTCAGTACAGGTAACAGAGTGTGAGTTTTCTTTGCAGAGAATGAAAGGGCAGGGCCCAGGACAGAAAGCTTTTATTGTGCAGCATTGGTAATCACCTGGTCATCCCAGCTCAGCTGTCCATGCCCTTCCTTGAACATGGAGTTAGGTTTGCTGTGGAGGGCACTCACTAGAGTTTCGGATTTAACCTGCCTCTGTGAAATAGGGGCAGATGGACTCACAGAGCTTTGGTGGGAAAGTTCTAGACCAGCGGCAGGACAGTTGTCTTTGTTCTGGCCACCAGTCTTCCAACTCTGGGGATAGTGGCTTCCACCTCTGGGCCTGACTCCTTGTTGGTAAACTAGAGGGCTTTAGAACATAAGATGTTCTCAGGTTTTCAGTAGCACTTCTCTTCTTAGATTCACAGGTAAAATTTGTTTTGGCATTTTTACATTCTTTGTGTTTGCTAACGATGTTAAATTCACAGTATTGAGCAATGGCATGAAAGAAGGATTGTAGGACTCAGGCTCCTGTTGGTTTCAAATTCATCTTTTCCTTGATTGGCGTGATTTGTGAATTTTTACTGTCTGTAAATAATTTAGAGTAGAATGGTCTTGAATGAGAGGTGCAGAGTCAGGGTGGGTGATTGTCTGGGGGTGGTCAGCGTGGGATGACAGGTTGCTGAGGAAAGGGAGTTTCTGGAATTCATTCTCTCTCAGTATGTGTGTCAGTCACCATTTTGTTTAAGACTGTACAGGTGAACGTTGAGATACTGAGAACATGGGAGTGGGAAGAGGCCTCTGTGACTGACCCATTCCACCTCACTCACTGAGGAATTTGAGAGGTTGGGGAGTTTGGCCATTTGACTGAGGTTATGTGGCTGGAAAGATGTGGAGATGGGGAAGGAACCCAGGGTGATAGAGTCTGGGTCGTGCGTTCTAGACGTTTCTGTGAAGGCCTTCCCTCCTCTTCTGAGGAAGGAGAAAAAGTGAAGAGGAAGTAGGAGTGGAAGAAGGGGAGGCTGGAGAAGCAGGCAAGAGAAGATAGGAGGTTGGGGACAAGTCCTGTGGGGAGGAGGAAATCTCTGGAGCCAAGCTGAGAGGAGAAAGGGGTGAAGCTTGAAAAGGAGGCTGTATCAGCTGGGAAAAGGCAGAGCACTTCTGTGCCCTTGGAGTGAAGTAAGGAGTGGCTTGGCTTGGACAGGGGTGCGCGGGTGGGGGTCGGATGGGTGGGCAGTCCAGCCTGGGCCGAGCCTGACTTGGAACCCCCTTGGGTGTCTCCTGTGACCCTCAGACTGCAGAGGGTAGTGAAGGGTGCATAGTTTAGTCTTACTGAGGCTTGTGGAACGCGAACGAATGAGGAGTCAGGTGACACATACACTGGTTGTGATGTTACCAAGTGCTGGAGGTGGGGCCAGGTTTTGCTGAAGTCCCAGTTTTTTCTTTTAAATGTAAATCACAAAGTTGTATCTGGCTTTTTTTTTTTTAAACGAAAGCAGCATTTTCTCCTCTGACTTTCATTGTGCATTTGGACACTTCTATGTTTTATGAGCGAGCATTTCATGTATTCCCTTTTCCGGGGAGAGTCTTGTAGATGACTGATTCACCAAATTGTAGATCATCTGGGGAACCTGAGGTAGGCCTCAGAATGTTCAGTGAACATTTAAAGAGCTGTGAACAGTGGTTAATCAGAGCATTAACCATTCAAAGCAAGGCTAAAAGGTGACAATTCTTTGAAGTCTATGGCCCAAGCCAGCAGCTGGCCATCAACTGTGTAATTTCCTTTGGCCAGCTCTGCAGGCCCTAGGACATGTGTCTGTGGATCGTTCAGTTGCTTCTATTTTTTTTGTATGGCTAGGCATTTTGTATGGCCCCGTGTCTTGTCACCCATTCTTTCTTGCACCTCCCTCCTGAGCCCATCCTCACCCCCAACTTTGTATCTTTCTCTTTGCCTTCCTTCCTCACCCTTCCTTTACTGTCAGTAATATAGCTTTGTAGTGTGTTTTAATATATCGTTGTGTCATTAAAATTTCATGTTCTCTGCTCTTAATTTAAAACCAGGTGAGCTAAGACTCTTTTGAATGTATATGTGTACACACAAAACAAACAAAATTCTTTTTTTTTTTTCCAGTACTGGGAATCGAACTCATGACCTTGCACTTGCCAGGCAGGCACTGTGCTGCTGAGCTAAATCCCCAGCCACTTTTTTTTTTTTGGTACTGGGAATTGAACTCATGACCTTGCGCTTGCCAGTCAAGTGCTTTTGCCGCCGAGCTATATCTCCAGCCCCCCAAAATTCAATCAAAATGCTTTTTACTTCAGTGTGGTTTCTGCCCCTTTTCTGTGTTCAGTAGTGACTCTGTATAGAAAAAAATTTCAGATCTCTGTCTTGTGGTTATTGTTTTAAAAACAAAAGCAGCTATAACAATAGAAAAAGTTTCCACCCTTGTATTATGAACCAGAGGGACTCTGTCTCCCAAGAGATGTGCCCTATTTCTTGACTTTCTTTCGTGGAAGCAGCATTTTCAATCTGTCCTTTAACAAGGTCTGTGCTGTAGGTGTACGGGTATGGATGGTGGAAGTGAGGCTCTTGTCAGTGATTCTGGCAACGCTTAGAGTGGGGGAGGCTGGCAGGCTATAGCCAAGAGAGGACAAGCAGGAAGGATTTAGCATGATGAGTTTTCTCTGTTTCTCCAGGCTGTGGTAACCCAATGGGCTGTTTCAGGACCCAGATACCTTTAGAAAAGAACAAGGTGCTTGTCAGCTTGCTCTTGTGTAGTACCCAGTAGGTACCTTGTCTCCACTGTGGGAGGATGGGCAACCACTGACAAGTTGCTGGTATGAAATTCAGAGGCTTTGATGTATGTGTGCTATATAGTCTCGTAATTTTCTTCTGACCCTTATTAATTACAGAGAAGATTTAGTCTTGATGCTGAATGGTCAGCAATTAGTTTTGTATCTAAAGTAGGTTTCATAATGAGAA